GAGCACAGTGGCTCACATCTGTAATCCTAGCACTCTGGGAGGCTGAGGCAGGTAGATTGCTTGAGCTCATGAGTTCAAGACCAATCTAAACCAGAGCGAAACCCTATCTCTAAAAATAGGCGGATGTTGTGGTAGGTGCCTGTAGTCCCAGCTACTTGGGAGGCTGAGGCAAGAGGATCATTTGAGCCCAAGAGTTTGAGGTTGTTCTGAGCTATGATTCCATGGCACTTTAACTAGGGCAATAAAGTGAGACTCTGTGTCAAAAAACAAACAAACAAAAAACCCACAGTGCTAAAGCAATACGAAGGGGAAAAAAAGACCACAGCTTGGGGTCACTTAGCCCCCTGAACTTCAGTTTGCTCATACAGGGTAGGGTCAATAAAACCACACTTAACAGGGTGCTGGTGAGGAGTGAATGATAATGATGTCCCCCAATGCTAAGCCATTTTGTTATTGTCACCATCCCATGGTCATTTATTTACCTTTTCAGAATCTATATCCTAAGCTGTCAGATGGTAAAGGAAGACTTGATTTAGAAGGTATGAATTAACTGAGACAAGGAAGACAAAAGCACCTAGATCAGAGCTTCATAGTTAGACTAGAGATTTGAGGGTTCTTCATCCCAGCTCAGCATTACTATTTTTATTACTTATTATTATTTACTATTACTATTATTACTTTTATTAATTACTATTTTGTGTATTATCTGTATTATCTATGCAAGGTCAGCTTTAGGGTCCTACAAGAGCAGCCACTCGCCTGGACAGCGAGTTGCTTGGCCCTTACCTGGCTGAATACTTAGGAAAGGAAGGCTCCAGGTAATAGAACTTCAGATAATTCAGTGGTTTGGGGTAGGTGAAGGAGGGTGTTTCTGGAGGTCCCCCGTCTTCCATCTGTGGACCTTAATAGCTGGATATCAGCAAATCCCTCCATAGAGTGGTGTCTAGACCAATGCATACCCAACTAGACAGCTGCCAGAGCTGTTTGGAGCACAGTCCTAAATTTATCTAACATGGATGAAAAATTTCTTTACAGATTTCCTTTAATCCAATTTTTTAAAACAGTGAGAAAAATTTTAAACAACGAAAAGGCATACAGGGGTCAGCTGAGGAGATGGCCTCTTTCAGCCTGCGGCTTGTTTCCCGGCCGTCCTGGCTGGTTGGATGCCAGACTACGCCGAGTGTGGGTTACCCTGTGGCCTAGAGTTGCCAAAGGCTGTCTGTGGAGCTGCTGTTCTGGATCTGCTTGGCAGGCTTTGCTGTCCCTTTCCTATTGGACATCATTCCCCACCTCCCGGAGCACCCTGCTCTGCTCTGCACTCCCACTCCCACAGGTCTGGCTCTCTTGACCTTGACCTTTTCCTTGCCAAAGCTCATGGTGTTTGTCTGGCCATCTAGGCCAGTGTAGAAATCTTTCAACTTTTATTTATTCTACATTGCCCATGGCAGAAACAAGTATTGATAGAACCTAAAGGCCAAGATTAGCTGCCAGTCTTTAAGTCCTATCTGGACCCTGTCTACCTAAATACAATGCGGTTGTGCTGAATAGTATCATGTGGGATATCCCTGTGATACATTTTGCTATTTTTCTCCTACCAGGTGGGCCCACAACAGAAACCCCAGCAGTGAGCCCTTTGGTTGCCTGTCTTTGGACAGTTCCTGTTGACTGGGTACAAAGTCACTATATTCTTATTGAAACAATGATTGTCGCCATAAATGCATCAATGTACAAAGTTATGATTTAATAAAAAATAATTATAAAAAAATAAATAAATGTAATTTTGGGGGGACCTCACCTAATGTGCATGATGCAATGGTACATTTCAAAAGTATTAAGAAATGAGTATAATTGTGATGGATGTGTTACTTAGTTCAATGTAAACACTTTACGTTGTATATTGAAGCAGGACCCTGCACCCCATAAATGTATCAATGTACAAGTTATGATTTAATTAAAAAAAAAAAGAAACAATGACTGTGTTATCCTAATTCCCAAGGGTCTTCTTAGCTAGACTAGAAGACTCAAGGAAAAGGCAGCAGATGTGTGAAGGTTTCTATTGTTTGTGATTCTGCCCCGGTGTCTTGGAGTAGAGTCTGCCATACTTACCTCCCAATAGAAATTGAAGGTAGTTAAGGCTGATTTTGTCTGCAGTTTGCCTGTGCTGATACAGATTTCTCTACCAGTTTGACCAGAAGTTTTATGTAGCAAAATAAAAATGACCTCCTTTGCAGATGTAGCTAACACAAACTGTTCAGTGGGTCCATAATGCACTCTCACTCACTCGGTCCTTTTGAGAAAACTGCTCTTTCCCTCTTTTTTTTTTTTGAGACAGAGTCTCCCTTCTTTGCCCTGGTAGTGTGCCATGGCGTCATAGCTCACAGCAACCTCAAACTGTTGGGCTCTCAAGTGATCCTCTTGCTTCAGCCTCCCAAGTAGCTGGGACATGTGCCCACCACAACGTCCAGCTATTTTTAGAGGGGTGTCACTCTAGCTCAGGCGATCCGCCCACCTTAGCCTCCCAGAGTGCTGGGATTACAGATGTGAGGGATTACCGCACCCGCTTATCTTTCTCTCTTTCGACCATCAGATTCTCTCTGAGACTTCCAATCACAAGCCTCCAACACCTGAAGAGAAGACACATGATACAAGCTGACCAGTCATATCATCACATCTGCCTGGACATGGTGATCTGGCATGGGATAATATGTGACTCCAGCTGGGCAAGCAAAGTCCCTTCCAGTAATTTTATGACTTGGCAAGGGAGGACGGCTGCTATTATCATTTGAGAGGAAATAAATGCCATCTAAGAGAGCCTGAGCAAGGGCAGTGCCTGTAGCTTAATGGGTGGGGCGCCAGCTCCATATACCGATGGTGGCATGTTCAAACCTGGCCCCAGCCAAACTGTAACAAAAAAATAGCTGGGCGTTGTGGCAGGCGCCTATAGTCCCAGCTACTCAGGAGGCTGAGGCAAGAGAATCGCCTTTAGCCCAGGAGTTAGAGGTTGCTGTGAGCTGTGATGCCACAGCACTCTACCGAGGGCAACAAAATAAGACTCTATCTCTAAAAAAAAAAAACAGAGAGAGAGCGAGCCTGAGAGAATTAAGCAGTGAGTAGAAATGGAATAGAAAAAGAATATTATTGTTTGGATAATGTTCATTTGTCTTTCTCTCTGATCTATTCACTTGTAATAAAACAGACCCCTTTTAGTTTTAAGTTTGTTGGAATTGGGTTTTTGTCACTTTTCAGCAAACTGAAAGATAGCTGAGAAGATTCTGAGATAGGTGAAGTCCTAAAAATAGTAGTTGATGTCATTCATAGCTATACTTTTTTTTTCTTTTTGGTAGAGACAGTCTCATTATATTGCCCAGGCTGTACTCAAACTCCTGACCTCAAGCGGTCCTCCTACCTTGGCCTTCTTAAGGGCTGGAATTATAGTTTTTGTTTTCCATAGAGACAGAGTCTTGCTCTGTCCCCCAGCCTGGAGTGCAGTGGCCCAATCATAGCTCACTGTAACTCTGAACTTCTGGACTCAAGTGATATGACCCACTCCTGAACATGTCTATACCCTTTCTACTGTGTACACATGTACATTTGCACAGGTTTGGAGTGGGTCAAGTGAACACATCCTAGGAAGGAACTGATTCTATGTTTGCTATTCAGAAACTGAATGTCTGTCAATACTACCAGCCTAGAGGCTGACTTCACTGAAAACTCCCTTCCTGACCTTGGGCAATCACTCTCTGGACCTCAGATAGGGTGATTAACCATCTTGGTTTGCTGGGACTGAGTGGTTTCCAGGGACATGAGACTTCCATGGTTAACACCACAATACTCTCATTGCTACCAGTTCCTGGCAATCAGGACAGTTGGTCATCCTAGCTCAGTTCCGTATTTGTAAAAGCAAGACTGAATTGGACTGAGATGAGAAATCTGCCAGATCCTGCAATCAGGCAGACATTGCCAATTGACCTTAGTGCTAATTCTTGTAAGTTTATGTATACCCTCATGTTCCTTTGCAATATGGCCATCTCCTGTCAATCAGAATTGACTCCTATTTACCATCCTTGGACTGAGTTTTTTGACAAGACGAAATTTTAAGTATCAAGATTTGAGGACCAACTTAAGAGTCAAACTCTGCTGTACACTCAGTTTCAGACTTTCTCCAGGTTGGGCTAAATGCATTCTCTAAAACTTATGGATCTTATTTTTTGGATGTGATTGTATATTTGGGTAAATATATGGACTGGCAATTAGTTACATATGTAATTCAGTTTGTATTTATTTAGAAACATAAATTTATTGAGATCCTATTATGTACTAGACCTACATAATGGCTTTAACGCTAACACTCCAAGCTTATGAGTGTCTGCATTTTGGAAATAAGGGAACTGAAGCTTAGCTATCCAGTTCTCCTAGAAGGATCCAGACAGCGTGCGGGGGACACCTACGGCCATCTGACTCCACTCCAACAGCCACGACCCCTTCCACCACGATTCAGTTGCATTCTTTGGTTTGTTTCCACCTTTAGTCTTCGATATGAACAGCCTACACCCCTCCAGTCGGTTTGGAGACAAAACTCCCCAAGGATATAGGTTTCCTCACATTCAAATGACAAGCTGGGGTCTCCGCGAGGGAACACAGAAGTTCCAGATGGCTGGGGAAGGGCGGAAGAAAAGGCCAGCGCGGGCCACTCCCGGTTGCCAAGGGTTGGGCAGATCCTCACAGGGCAGTTCCACACTGAGTGGCACGCGGGCTGGCAAGGGGAAGAGGGCCGCGCTGCGGAAGAAGCCCCAAGTCTTTGCAGCCCCGTTGCTCAGCAGGCAGGAGGGTGACGCATGCGCGGTGCGGGCCGCAGAGTTGTGAATGGTGCGTCTTGTTTGCTAGAGTTTGAGGCGGGCGGGCGCGCAAGGAGGAGGAGGGGTGGGGCCGGCGGGGGCGGGGCGGGCGAACGGGGTGGGCGGTGAGAGGAAGTGGCCGCGGCGGCTGCGGAGGCCGGGGGGGCGGCGAGAGCTGGGTCTGCGCGGGCGGTAGGCAACGGCTGAGGCGGCTGAGGCGGTGGCGGCGGCCGCGGCGTGGGCAGGGCTCAAGCGGGCGGCGGCACCTCAGACTCCCCGGAGCGGGAGCCCACGCGGGCGGGCGCCTGAAACAAAGGGAAGCGGGAGTCCGGGTGCCGCGGGTGGGCGGTCAGTCGGTCAGCGCGGAGCCGGCCAGTGGGTGCCCGCGCAAGCTCCGAGCCCGGCCGGCTGGCGCGGTCTCAGGGCGGGAAGATGCCGCGCGTCGTGCCTGACCAGAGAAGCAAGTTCGAGAACGAGGAGTTCTTCAGGAAGCTGAGCCGCGAGTGTGAGGTGAGGCAGACGGGCGGCGCGGAGGCCGCGGTGCGCCCCGAGTGGGCCTGGGAGGAGAAAAGTTTGGGCGGCGCGGTCCCCGGTAGCCCCGGGCCGGCGCGCCCGCGGAGGGGCAATCTCGCCCGGGCAGCCGCCTGCCCGCAGACTCTGCTTGCCCTTATCGGCGCCTCGCGGCGCGGGCGGGCGCGCGGGCGGCGCCGCGGATTTGCCTTCTGATTTCGGGCCGTCTCTGCCTTGCAGATTAAGTACACGGGCTTCAGGGACCGGCCCCACGAGGAGCGTCAGGCGCGCTTCCAGAACGCTTGCCGCGACGGCCGCTCGGAAATTGTAAGTCGCCGGGGCGGGGATGCGCGCGGGGGCTGAGGCGCGCGCGGGTCACTTGTTGCGCGGGGGCAGCAGCGGCCCAGGCCGGTTCCGGACAGCGTCGCGGACGCCGCGGCTGCCGGAACTGAGCGGGCGCCGTCTCACTTCCTACTCCGGATTCAAAAATGCGAAACCAGACATTGGCGGGCCGGTCCTCTCGGGGAGACGCTTTCCCTGTGGCCCGCTGCGGTGGCTTACGTTTCCCGGAGCCGGCTTGTTGAACAGTTTACGGCGATCGGAGCTCAAACGCGAGCCAAACCAAACAAGGGAAGGTCGTTGTGTAGTCTGAGACACGGATTCAGGGCATTTACAGGAAGAAAACACCTATTAAAAAAAAATTGGAACTTCATTCAAGGTCAGTGATAGTTTCTTAAAACTAGTTGGGTGGCAAATCTGCATTTGAAGCTGTCTCCCACTGTTGCTGAGAATAAATCTTTATTGCTCCGATAGAAGGGGAGGTGGGAAAAAGCCCTATAGGACTTGTCTTCATCTCCCGTGAGAATGTTAAGCCTCAGGAGAATCAGGCAGAGACCGTTCACCTGTTTTTTTCAAACCTTAAGTGCACAGAATCAGGGGTGTTCAACCTTCAGCCCGTGGGCTGCATGCTGATGTGGGAAGGCTTTTTTTTTTTGTTTCCTTGTGTTGGATGTCATGAAAGGTGTGTCAGGACTTTTTTTTTCTTTTTGCTAATCAGGTTAAAAACTGATCAGTTAGGCTCGGCGCCTGTGGCTCAAGCGGCTAAGGCGCCAGCCACATACACCTAAGGTGGCGGGTTCGAATCCC